GCACAATGAGACAAGGCAACCTATTTTTATTACAATGAAGAAATATCCTTGGAAGATTCAGCAGAGGAATAATTTATAAATAGAGGACAACCTCTAAATTCCAATAACTCTGTTCCTTTTTCAAGTTCTTCTGGTACAAGCCATCAGTCGTAATAAAAGCTACAAAATAACTCCTTTAACTTTGAATAAATTCATTAAATACTGTTGTTTTGGGAGGACCCCGAAGCAATGCTCAAATTCTACCAATACGTTCTAGAGAAAGTACCAACACAGGCTTGGTAGAAACAGTAAAAGCATCAGAGCAGTTCACTGTCAGCTCAAGGAAATATTTCATCCCAAAGAAATGACGCCTTTATAGTATTCCTTTAACACATTGATTTATATTTTTAAAAGGGAGGAATTTTAAGCTGTTGAAGACCACGGAAACATTTCATTCACGCTCAAAATGAAATACTATCTTTAACGTTGGCTCAGTCTGATATAAATCTCAATTGTGACCTTTTCCTCAAGACACACAAACCAACCAACTCAAACGAAAAAGCAGGTATGATTTAGCTGTTACTGAAGAAGGCTAATATTATTTTCTTCAGACACAAAGACTGAGACTGATTTCATGTAGAATGCTATACTGTTTTTATTGCTAAACTCTCTCAACAACTTACATCAAGCATTGTAGCATTTAACAAGACATCTAAGACAATCTCTATCCTTTGGTGTCCCTATAAAAAAAAAAAAAAACAAAAAAAAACACAAATCATTGTAGGCCTTGGGACTTTGCTAGTTAGTTTCCACAACAACTGAGAAGTTATCACACAGAGTAGCATTCCCTAAACCTGTGGGTGGTTTTAACTCGAGAACAAAGGTAATCGTTTTATTTGGCCTACGAGAGCCACTTTCTTCTTCCCCAACTCTGGGCTGGTGGTTTCTGCAAGACACATATCTTGCTTTGTATGGCAAGTCAGTTACACAGTGCAGCTTGCTTTGCTTCAAACCTTCCAAGCAAGAGCTGATGTGGATGACACCCAGGCAAACCAGAATGGAGTGGCTCCAGCAGCCTGCAGCAGACAAGGCATCTCCTGTAAGCCTTCTCCAGTAAGTTCTGAGTCCTGCACTGAGAGAGCAGAAACCTTCTTAGGTATGTGTAACCACTCTTCACCTCACATCAACACTCTCATTTTCACAGATATCTTGCTGATGTGGTTGCCAAGCCAACTTGAATCGTATTTGAAAAGTCATGGCTGCCAAGCGAAGCCCCTGGTACCATCACTTCCATTTTAAAGAAAGAGAGAAAGGAAGAGCCAGGGAACTACAGGCTGGTGAGCCTCAGCTCTGTGCCTGGGAAGATCATGGAGCAGATCTTCCTGGAGAGACATTAAGGTAATGCAAAATAATCAAAATTGCATTCACCGTAATTGCAAAATTTTGAGAAATGCACCCCTTCTGATTTGCTGTTCATTTTGCAGAGTAATAAAAGGTGACCTCTTGAACTGGAAGAGAATTGTAGCTGTTGTTGCATAGGACTGCAGCTCAAGCCTAAGAACTTTCTGGAACACTTTTAAAGAAATGCTTACTATTACCAATTCCTTTTGCAATGTTTCACTCTACTCCCTCCCAAAGAGGCAGGGTATGGATTTCATAAGTAAATATTCCACCTATGAGAAAAGTGGAAGAACCATTAGATTAGAAACATTAGATCATGAAAGTTAAGATATATTTTCAGTGGAACCAAATGCCTGACTTCCTCAACCTCTAATTCCAATAGTTCTCTCTCAAAAACTTCTGTAAGATCAGTTCTCTGGTACAGTTCTGTTGGATATGGTATGCTTTATCTTCAGTCAAACCAAAAGGATAACTCAAACTGTTAATTTAAGAAGGTATGTAATTTAAGAAGGTCACTCCAAAAGTAATACTTCCTATTCATTTCCATGGAAACTACAACAGATACACAGAGCAGAATAACTCTATTTGAGAGAGCACATTCTCAGCTACACAACACTATTTTTCAACAGTCAGCATCACTAGTTATGGATTTTCACCAGCAATAAACAAGAGCCTATATGTCACACTTGTAAAAATCCGCACCAGCGAAGTGACCCACTGTTTCACAGCTGTGGTTATGGCGTTGTTGCTAAGAAAACGTTGCCCATGCAGTCCAACTTTCATTAGCCCAGACAGATTGAACTCACAAAGGCACCAAATCCTGACAATACAGCAGGCATGGTCGTACAGTTCAGCCAAGACTGGCAGTGCGCTCCACAGTCTTCAAACCAGTATAGGGCCTGGCATCATCACGCTGCAAGAGGAAGGTCATGCTCTGTTATTGCCACATTCTGGAAGTCGAAGCCTTCAGCTTAGTCAGGGTCACAATGTAGCAGTCAGAGTTGATGGTTTGAGTGGGTTTCAGGAAATCCAGAGGAATCACCCTGTTTCTATCCCAAACAATACACATGACTTTACCCACTGAGGGCTGTGTGTTGAACTTCTTCAGCAGGGAATCCATGTAGCCACTCCACGTACTGCTGTTTTGACAGTGGCTTATACTAGTAACACCACATCTCATCATCTCTTATGACATAATTCAGGCAACTGTTATCTGCAACTTCCTATTAGTTCAGTAGGTCCTCACAGACATCATATGGTGTTCTTTCTCTTTCTGTGTATTGCCACCATGGTTTCCAATGCCTTGAAGCCAATATTCCTCTCCATCCATAGTTCTCTTATCATAATCTATCAATTCATATGGACGAGCTGATCAAGACGCTCTTCATTTGGTGGTGTGACAGCTGTGTATGAAATGTGGCTCGTCTTTCACATCACTGTAACACTGCTGAAAAGCACAACCCACTGCCTCTCTGTGCTCACATCCATTGTTTGGTCTCCGTAAGTATTCAGCAGGTGACAACTAATGTCAACTGCAATTTTTTTCCACACATAAGAATTGAATGACACATCTTTGCTACGTGTGCCCTTCCATGTCAGACACCATTCTGTCAGACTGCCCCTCTGCTGCCATCTGTCTCGTGGCAACAACACCTAACTGGTATCGGTGGGAAGTTTCAACCTCTACTGCCACATTATGAGCATCTGCCTCTGACATTGTGGGACAACAGAGTAAAATACGAGGCACTACTTTCAGAGCAGTCTTTGTAAAATGTGAAATAGAAAGGTGTTGATGTGACATTTTACTCTATGCGAATGTGAACATTTTTGTCAGTACAAACACAGTCTACAAGTTACTGTGTTGCTCCTCTCCTCCTCCTCTAATTCTTTATAAATCAGAAAATTAATTACCCAGAAAATAGTCTCCTGTAGTAGGAAGCTGAACAGGTTTAATGCATAGTTTATATATGGAAATTTAGATGTCAACACTGTGACAAATCATCACATAAATATTTTTGCAGCTAGAGTTTGCTGCATCCGTCTTTCCCAAAGAATGAGCATAATGCAGATTATCTCAATGATAAACGGCTGTTTTGGTTTAAGGATCTGAAAGACATTTTTAATATTTTTTTCCAGCTACAAATCAATTGAGATGAACAAAGTTACAGGGCTGTATGAGAGAAGCGATCCTGATGCCATCTTTCTTAGAGGAGAGATATTCACTGCAAGAACACTAAGATGAAGAAAACAGAAATTAAACAGAATTTGGTTTCCCAACTTCTATCTTGTCATCTGTGAGGGGACACTTCAAACTCACTATAGGTAAATAGGCTGTTCTTAATGTTCCCCAACTTACTTCTAGGCTACCATTTTTTCCTACCCTGGAGTCATTTTATAAAGGCCCTAGCTTTCAAGTGAGTCTTGAAAACTACTTTTGCTTTCAAATACATTTCTTTAGTCACAGTGTTTGAATTGCTAAGTATCTGATTGGATATACCCACTACTTTGTAAGGTTCAGCTGCTCTGAACTTTTTAAGAAGTCTGACAATTGAATCCAATAACGTATCTGCATTGAGGTGCTCAAAGCTAAGAGCTAACAGGAGCAACGCTTTACATAGTGACTGCAGCTGTAATCAGCTACCCAGGATTATTAGTGATTTTGAATGTTCAGACTTGAATTGATTTAAAGACTGGATGAGATCTTTAGCATTTCACAGGGAGTGTTTGACACATCTCTGTGACATCTCCTTGCTGAGTGAGGAATGGCTGCTACATTTTCATGAGAAAATTGTTTTCTATCATGCATCCACTAGATGAGGAAAGAGTTGGAAGCCACTTACCCAAAAGGGACAAGAAGGAAATATTTCTATTTATTCTAAACCACTCAAACCCAAGATCAAACACTCAGTACTGACCAAGTTCTTTCTTTTTTTTCCCCATGATTTCATTTGCTTTCTAAGCCAACAGACATTCAACATTCATAACAGGCTGAGGATGGAGCTCTGCAGCTTCACTACATATTCCACGAAAACACATCTTTGTGGGTTTTTCCCCACAATTTCTCTGTTTTTGTCCTATTTCCTGTCATCTATTCGAAACTGTATAGCTGGACATTTAAACTCACATGGTGTTGCTGTTCTTACATAACACCTTATTTGTAGTCAACCCTTCCCAAGCAGCTCCAATTCACAAATCTATCTTCTGATCCAGTCACATGTAAACAATTAGTGCCAAGTTAAGAAACCTCAACAGCATAGGTAAGCCTGGCTTCTGCTTGACTGAGGAGCAAGTAAAGGGATGGCAGGCAAAGAAAAAAGCCTCAGTAGTGGGAGACCTGGTAATCTCCAGTTACCACTGAGAAAATGGGAGCAGTGATTTCTGTCTGAAAGAGTCACTTTGAAACAACTCCCTTAGCTCCCACGCTAAACTACTCCCTGGAGAAAGAACCAGCCCTGAGAGACAAAGAGCAGGAAAGTGTTTTTGCTGCCCAAGCCTGTTTTGCCTATGGGGACAGCTGGCAAGCTTCCTTGTAATCTGTTTCAGAAATGCTGTATCACAGCCAGTTGCATGCCCATCTCCCCCAACTCCAGAGCAAGCATAGGAGGAGGTTACAAGCTTACTTTGTTTGCGCCTTGCTGTTTTTGTCAGCATAGCCTCCTCCATTCGTGCTTTTTCTTCCCTCTCCTTCCAGCGCCTCAGCTGCTCTTCTCTCATCTTGTAGAACAAGATTTGCTTTTGCTCTTCATTCAGCTCTGCCAGGAGCTCGGGGTCGATATACATATCACGCAAAATTTGCTGCAGCATGACTACTCCAAAAGCGAAGAGAGAAACTCGCTCCCAACTACCTTCGCTACAGCGAGGAGATCCCACCTACAGCGCTCCAGAAAGCAACCTGCAGCAAAGGAATTCTCCCTCATCTGCCAGCCCAGCACAGGCTCGATTCTTCTCGCCCTGTCGCTCTTCTTGCAGGCATATTCTGCTCCTCTTCTCTTACACTGACAGGGTTCTCTGCTTATCTCATCCACCAAAGGTAGCGACAGGTGTCGAGTGAAACGAGGGGGGAGGAATAGAGAATGATGAGGAAATAAATGAAAAGACCAAAAGAAGTAAGACCCTTCAGTGTTCCTGACTGCAAACAGGTAAAAATAAGGGATTCTTGACTGCACCCATCATTTTTTTGCTCCCTCGAGTAGAAGGAAATTCAATATAATGAAAGTCTGAGACTTTCGGCTGAAGCGATAATACACTCCCAAGGGTGCTGGTGTTGCCCTGGGGGTTTAAAGTGATGTCATGGTTTAAGGTATCACCTACACCAACAATATCTATGTCACTTTGGGAACTGATCTCTTCTGATAAGAGAGAAGAAATGAGTTTGCATATTATTTCCCAGCGTAACCTGTTAACTGGTCTCAACAGGGTAGGTCATATCAGCTCATATTTACCTGGTGCTGACAAATATGGTCATGCAAGTGATTAAAATGTCTTTAAAATTAAAAGCAGATGTAATAAAAGCCGCAAGAATCTTGTTATCACTTTATAAATAGTAAATTAATATTAATTAAACAAGAGGTAGTTCTCAGCAGTTCGTGTGGACCATGCACATCCTGCTGGCAATTCACTTTCCTCTTTGTGACTGCAGAAAGATATAACGCTGCTATTCAGCAGAGTTTTTATCATAGTCTGGAAAATAATATTTCAGCAACAGGGCCAAGAGCCACTAAATTAGATGAGAAAAGTAAACACTGAATTCCACATCCAGCTTTCCCTGGGCACTCCTCCAAGGAGCAGCATCACGCCGTGAGAGGGGGCACTGTCCAAGAAGACAGAAGATGGGGCCATCCTGAGTTTAAACAAAATGAAGAACACACCTCAGGCTGTAGCACCCCATTGCATGATATTTGCGCAACCTATCTCTTTTAGGGTCTACCACTAGAAGGTACACTGTACAGGGAAGACACATGCTGTGTTGCCAGAGGGATAGGAGTGTCACTCCCGTGGCATTGAGAGCAGGGCAATGGAACTGCCATGGAGCAGAACGGCAGAGCAGTCATCTTATTTTTCCACTCCTTGTCATTAACGATTTTCAGAAGCAAGATACCTAATTTGCAGTAGCACTAGATTGCCTGCAAGGGAAGAGGAACACAGATGATCCATCCACCATACACCTGTATCGTTTTTCAAATTAGATACTATCACTTATTGCTAATATGCTTAACCCCATCCCTCACCAGCAATGGCACCTTTCTGGCGTACACAACAGGTGACAAGAAGATGCCTGCTCACTTAATGAATTAGTATTGAGTTACTAATTATTCCTGGTGCTTGCCCTCACTCAAACCAGAAATGAAAAGTTCTAAAGCTTAAGATCTTCTCACAACGATGCTACAAAGACAGTACTCAAGACAGAGACACTTAACACAAAATGATGCATTCCTCCTGCACAGAGAAACAAACCAGGGAAATTCACATGCAGGTGCCTTCCTGTAGAGTTCCTCTGGCCCCTGGCACCGATTCCTGAGCAGAAAGGACACAAAATTGGAGTCTGCTTCCTCCTTCCCCTACTCCTCAGGGTTCTTCCCTGTTTTCCTTGCTCCAGAAATTAAATGGAAGGATTAGAAGGCAAGAACACAAACTCACCAGTCTCAACACAACCTACTAACCACCTGTATTCAGTCAGTGACCTCTCTTCCCCTGTTAATGCAGGTAATTCCCAATTACAGTGGCAGCTGTCTATGCTGCAAAGTGGAGCATCACTTACCTTAGTGACATTCATATGTAGTCACACAAAGTTAAAACAAACACTCAAGGAATTCTGAGTTTACTTAGAAAGAAATTTTGTCCCAGCTCCGTTTGCCTTTAACAACACTATCTTTTAACTGCATGATATGATACATTCTTCCTCACAAAGAAAATAGCTTTATAGATGTCTTAAACTCTTACATGGCTTTCACGGTCCTCATATTCAAAAATTTACACTGTTATTGTGCTAACTCATGTTAAACTCCTTTGAAGTAAACAAAATATCACAATTGAAGCAGAAAATACTTCTGATCTAAATTAATTTTCAAGTAAAGAGACTGTTTCACGTAAAAGCACAAAATCTAAAGATTCTCCTCGAACAACGCCTCCAGCTGTTTGCTCTGTACAGAGTCCAGTTCACTCTGCGCTTCAGGTTATCTCTTATGCTCAGATTTTGTCTCATAAAAACAAAATGCTACAATTTTATTTGGTTTTTGTTTGTTTGTACATTTTTGTTTTCCTTAAAGAAATAGAATTTGGCAAGAAAATACCTAGAGGAAGAAACACTTGGCTTCTATTTGTTTCTTCTATTTTTCTTGGTCAGGTATAGAAAGAGGAGAGCCTGGGGGATTTGGCCTTCCTTTCTCTGCTTTTATTCAATTATACTGAAACTGTGGCTTCACATTTTGGCACTAATTGAAAAAGACTCGCCTTTGTAAAGGCTTCAGGGCAAGCAGTTTTGCTGTTCTAACCATTTGTCATCTTTCCAATTTTATTTTACTTGACTTTGCAGAACAAAAATCAAATTGTGATCACAAGCTATCACAGTGCAAAGAACAAACTCTTCATCAAGGATTACGTACGCTTCAGCGTGATAAGAAGCAAGAGCTGTTTCTGAACAGCATTCAGCTACAGAAGTAGCTCAGGATGGAGACTGGAGATGCAAAACAGTACACAAATAAGTTTTCTGCAGCTACTGGTAATGTTTAATGATCAATCGCAACAAAAACAGCAAAAACAAGGAGATGAAATAACTACGTCATGAATAACCCACTATCCGAAGATTATTAACTCAAAACATATGAGAACACTAACACACTAACCAAATAAGAGTGGAATTAGTTTATTAATCTCTGGGTTGCTTGTTGTGTTTTTTTTTTAAGTTCACATTTGGAAGTGTTATTTTATAAGTACAGAAATTAAACCACTAAACTTCCTCTAGTTTAGTCTGACTTCTATCGCCCTAGGTAAGAGGGTGAAGAGGAAGCAAAGCTGCCTTGTTGCCCGCGTCTTGCTGATCATCCTGACACTCTGTCTAAGTAGAATGTCCTGAAGAGAACATTTTTAAGCAATACTCTTTCCAGAAATTCTCTTTCTCCATTGGAATCATTTTAGACATTGATGTTCTTCTCACATTAAGCCCTGGATGATCATTAAAAGTAGACTTTTCACAGACTGCTTAACAGTAACATCTAAGAGAGATGTCTGACTCTATTCAAGTGATGCAAGGGCTGCTTCTCTCTTGACTACCTCAGTGAACCTGTTGACAGTATGTGAGACATTCACCTATGCAAACCTAACCTTGAATTTTTAGCCTAGTACATACTGATCTTGTTATATAGTTTAACAGATCTTAAATAATCCAAATTGGTAAACTAAGTCTCAATTGTCCTTACGAAATCACCATGTGTTCTTATCACAGAATAGCCTGGGTTGAAAAGGACCACGATGCTCATCTAGTTCCAACCCCCTGCTATGTGCAGGGTCGCCAACCAGCAGACCAGGCTGCCCAGAGCCACATCCAGCCTGGCCTTGAATGCCTCCAGGGATGGGGCATCCACAGCCTCCTTGGGCAACCTGTGAACAGTGCCTCACCACCCTCTGGGTGAAAAACATCCTCCTAGTATGTAAACTAAACCTCCACTGGCTAAGTTTAAAACCATTCCCCCTTGTCCTGTCACTACCCACCCTCGTAAACAGCCATTCCCCCTCCTGTTTATATGCTCCTTTCAAGTACTGGAAGGCCACAGTGAGGTCTCCCCAGAGCCTTCACTTCTCCAACCTAAACAAGCCCAGTTTCCTCAATCTTTTCTTCTGGTTTCTGAGAAAATGTAGAAACCTTACAAGGTCTGAAACTCAAAAGGCAACCTTGAGGAGACACCAAATCCAGTATTAAAAACTTTTCCCTTTTCCAGGATTAGTTCACAGTTAGAAATAGCCTGGCTCAGCAGATTCAGACAATTCAAATGAAGAAGACAGCTATTCAGAGAAAACATGAAATTAAACTTCCTACTGACAAACAAAATTTCTCTTTCCATCCTGTCTCAGACCTGATTACGATATAGATGAATTAATGACTGGCAAGAGCAAGGAGAACTGAAGAAAGGATGACTGACTGTGGGCATTCTTCATCGCCCCAGCCTTTCTGAGAAATTTATATGGACAATGACTCCTCCATTACCCTTTCACCTTGGTTACCCCTACCGCAACACTCCAAACTAAGCTAAAATAATTACACAAGGATTACATCTCAAAAAACCTATGAACAAAATAGAAGATAACTATCAGAGCAGATCTTTGTTGGCAGTTGTTACCCTATTATAACTTCCATACCACTTGATGCTCTAATTAGTACTAGTCCAGAAAGGAGCTCAGAGCTATTTAAAATTTAAGACTGGAGATTCCTTTAATCTTTAACAGCATCTTGTGGGACTAGACACACAGCCTCTGGTATAACATCTTTCTGGCTAAACAATGCTCAGCACTGTCACTAGAATTCACCTGCTGGGGAAGTAAGGAAGAAGAAGAAGCACACAAAGATGTTTTAGCCCCATTTTCAAGAAAAGGGTAAAGTGTTTAATTGGCCAGGGCTTTTTCATCTCTTCATCCATTTTCTTCCAAGCACATGCATCCTCTATTCCCTGGGCTGAACAGCTCACTGGCAATGCTGATGAATGCTGAACCAGCAGAAGAGCATTTTCTTTCAGATTTTATAACACAGCTACCTAACCTACTTTAGCCATGTCATTTACATAAAAATATTCAGCTATAACCTACATACTACG